CACAGCCCCCTTTTTATTGTCTATTTTGTACTCGCCCAGTCACCGAGTGCCTTGAATAAATGTGAAGGAACCGACAGAATCAGCTGGAATAAAAAGCTGTGAAAGACATCTGTCCCCATGGCCTGTGTCTGCTCCCCCCCAACCCCGGGGACACCCCTGGTGACACAGGTTCACTGTGGTTGTGCCTGGTGGCAATCACACCACAGGCACCCTCTCCCTGCTCTGGCAGAGCTGGACCAGAGCACCAGGATGGGGGTGTCTGGGGCCAGCATGGCCAGTGGGAGGGCCACCAAGCCCTGCTCAACAGCCTGGGGTCAGCTCCACATCCCAGGTCTTCACATCCTGGGGTCAACACCCCAGATCTCCACATCCTGAGTCTCTCTGTCCAGGATATCCCACATCCCGGGTCTCCTGCATCTCAGCTTTCCACATCCTGGCCTCCAGCATCCTGTGTCTTTACATCTCAGGTGGCCAGAATCCTTCATCTCCACATCCCAGGTTCAGCATCCCAGTTTTACACATCCTGGGTCTCAACACCTCATGTCTCCTACGTCTCAGGTCTCAACACACCCCAGGTGTCCGATATTCTGAGTCTCTGACATGCCTGGTCTCCAAAATTCTCAGCACCTTGGGTCTCCCACCTCCCAGGTCTTTGAAATCCCAGATCCCCAGATCCCCGGGGCTCACCAGCCCTGGGCTCCAAAATCTGGGTCTCAACGTTTGGGAACTGAACGTTTTGGGTCTCAACTCCTCAGTGTCACCATCTTGGGTCTCTGTGTCCCTGAAAAACAAGCACATATGGACCCCCCCATCCTGGGCCACAGGGGACTCCGAGGGCAAAGAGCGACTTCCATGGGCACAAGTTTTGGCCACAAGTGCCCCCGTCCCCAGCAGAGTGGCCCCTCCAGCCCCAACGCTGCCCCCCTACAGTGTCCCCCCCTTCCTTTTACCCCATTGCCATGGGTCGGGCAGGCTGGGTTGGGGTGGGGGGTTCAGCTCAGGGGCTGCAGCCATGTTGGGGGGCTGGATGTGGTGGTAGGGGGGGGTCACGGTCCCGATGCCTTTTGGCCCCAGCTGGCCCCATGCCCCCCTGTGTCCCCGTGCCTCCGGGCAGGACAGGCCCTACATGGCCGAGGCCGGGCCGTGGCTGCCATGTTCCCGCTCCGACAAATCCCACTAATCCCCCCTGAGTCATCCCAGAGGCAGACGGTGACCTGGGAGGAATCCTGCAGCTGCGAGGCCCCTCTCCGAGCGTGGGGGGCTCCATGTTTCCCCCCCACCACCCCGAAAACCCCCTTCTCCCTCAGCCCCAACCCCCCCACCCCAGCAGTTCTATGGTGCAACGAGTTTGGTGGGTCTCAGACCCAGCACCCAGGGTGGGCTCCTGCTGCCGGGGGTCACGTATAGGGCCTGGGCATCCC